CATTATTATATGGCTGTGTCTCACAAGGACTGGGAACTACCGAATTCACGAATTTGATTGGCTGAAATCAATATTGAAAGCGGTCTAGATTTTCCCATCTAGACCGGCATCTAGACCGGTCTAGAAAAAAAAGTTACAAAGAATATAAAAAATTGGCATATAAGACACAGCCATATAATAAATATCTTATTAACCGAGCTAGGTCGGTCTGTATGGGAGAATCTTGACCTCGGTCGCTGGTACAGACCTCACTGCGTTCGGTCTGTACTGGCGACCTCGATCAAGATACTCCCATACAGACCTCCCGCTCGGTTAATAAGAATTTAGTAATACATGATCCGAAATGAATTGAAGATTCATGGCGTGATTCAAACAAAATAAATGATCTGGTGTATCTATAGGCACTCCCATGAGCAACTCTTGGAGGTTTTTAGTGCAGCTTTTTCCCGGCTATTTCAATTGTCCGCTACGCTTTTTATAATTGTTAAATATGAAATTAACCTAATGCCAGCCTGAGTGCACAATTGGCACCTTTTGGAGCCTTATTACGCAAGACAAATTCTTCCTTAGGGCTTACGTCACCAGAATTTATTTCATCAGACAAGCTTATTGAGAATTTGTAAGACCCTTGCAATTATTTCTGTGTTGGTAAAACTCACAACTTCCTACTCGCATCCCCTCGCAAAAATATGCCTCTTGCTCACGATATTAAATTGTTATTTGCATTATTTTATCATTAGTTAATTGCAATTCTCTCTCCTTTCGCTTTGACAGATGACGTTCCCTCATTGCTTGAAGTTTGCAATGTTTTTAGTATGTTGCATGCATGCGCATAACACAGCAGTAATCGCGTCAAGTAAAACAGTAAGCGCGTCCGCGACAACAGTAGACGCGTCCACGACAACAGTAAACGTGCCCATGACAACAGTAAACGTGTCCACGACAACAGGAAACGTGTCCACGACAACAGTAAACGTGTCCACGACAACAGTAAACGTGTCCTCGACAACAGTAAACGTGTCCACGACAACAGTAAACGTGTCCACGACAACAGTAAGCGCGTCCACGACAACAGTAAACGTGTCCATGACAACAGTAATTCCATCTGAAGGAGGGACAAACACCACAGGAACACCAATGACGGCGACACCAATAGCGACCACCAAAGCCACAGCAGCATTAACCTCAACAACTCACAATGCAACCAATTTGTCAAGTGCTTATGCTCACACTACAAGTGCGCCTGTCGCAACACCAACTTCCATGTTCACCATGCGTAATGGTAAGAGACATTTTTGTATTCTTAAAAACCAAGGACGACAGAATGGAAATTTAACAGGATGGGGAAAGTTTTGAATTTGGGGTTTTAGGGGCGTTTCTCAATAACCTTTTTTTTAATTTTCAATTTTTTTCCCTTTTCACATTTCCTTCTCAATCTTCATTTTTTTGTTTCTGTTTGAAATTGTCGGCATCAGTACCTTTTCCATTATTAAAAATCTGTATATTATTCAACCGTGATTTGGTGTTTCACTAAATAATAATTTCATAGCTGCTCGTCACTTGATGAAGAGGCCCAGTTAAGAGAATAGCTGGCCCCCCAGTCTCCCATGGGATTCGTGATAACAGGTCGGTTACCAAGGGGAAGATACGATTAATCTTTATTCGTATTTGTCGACGCAGATGAATTAAAAGTCTATGATTTACACCGAAATGATAGTATGGCAGGACGCACAACGCTAAAGAAGCAAAACTGAAACAAAAAGACTAAACGAGGACTAATAGCAATAGGGAAGATAAACACCAACTGCAAACTTAGAACTGTGAAGTAGCTGTTATGACTAACAATACTCTGTATCTTCACTTAGCAATTATGTTTTTCAGCGTCTTTCAGCATAGGGTCTGGAACCGAGTACTCGTCAGCAGATTGCGAATCCTGCAGCATTGGAGGAACCATCACAGTGACCATGTCATGTAGCATCAAGATAAATGGTAGCGATGACAAGAAATGTGACAGGGAAAAGTTCAAGGAAACCAGCTGTGATTACGTTACTTTGGCCGATAAAGGGTATCGCTGTGCTGAGGTGGAAAATAATTACACAAACTATGTGGAGAAAAACGTGAACGTTACAAAAAAATGTGATGAAGTCTGCCCAGCCTCTGGCTCAGGTTGGTTTTAGTTTAACTCTAAAAAATAAAACTGTTTCAAATCATTCATTTGAAGACTCGGAGATGTTGCAGTATAATCTCACCACCATGAAAAAAATACCTGACACAACTGGAGTGCTTTTCGAAGTTGAGTTTCTTACAACCAAAACCAGAGCAATGACAACGATCAATCAGAAGAAAGGAAAATACCCTCAAGAGCCAATGGGAACTCAAAGAAAAACCAACCAAATTGTCTAAAGCGCGGGAAAACGCGGGCGACCAAGTCATGATTGGTTTCAGTTTTGCATCTGATTGGTTGAGAGAGTGGCGCGAGTATTATGGACCAATCAAAGAGCGAAGTAAAGCAAAACCCAACGCAATTTCGAATTACTTTCGATGCTCAGTTGAAATTTGCTCTATGTTATAAAGCAAACTAATTTATTCAATTATCATCCTCTGGGTAACTATTCCAAGAAAGTGACTACTTAACTGGACTCCTTTACTGACTTAACCTTCAGTCAGCACTGGTACACGGCTCACGTCAAACCGACTGCTATCTCTAAATCTCGTCTGAAACTCTGACTGTAGGCATGCTTCCTTTGAAAGCAGATTACAGCAGCTCTAGGTAGTTTCTTCAAGAACTCGGTCTTTGCCGACAACAGAAACCTCCCTCATCTCACATTAACATGACATTCTAGAAGGTACCGGAAACTTCAAAACTATTTTTCTTGTAGCAGTACATCATTATTGCATCGCCTAATAGAATCTTCAAGAAAGGTGCAGAGCGTTACTCTTACTAAGATTATATGAATATCATATTTGCGAATCGTGGATTAATAACTGAATATGAGAGTGATCTCCGCAGTTATGGACACTTAACTTAATCAGTAGTAAAAATATGGCCTGAAAAAAATTCAGGCCTGCACGGGAGTT